AGAGAAAATAATTAGTAGTCTATCAGAATACGCTGCCCCTGATATCTTAAAGAAAGATGGTATAATCTAGTATTTCAACATGCTCCCTATCTCCGTACAGTACATAGGGTATATTAGTCTCAGAATACGATACCCCTGAAATGATGTTATAATATAATCAAAAAACAGAAGATGTCATAATACTGTGAGTTATAACTTTACGGGATTGGAAATGGGAACACATAAGGTAGCATTTTTCGATAGGGCAAAGCGACGCGATAGATTTAAATAATAAGTTTAATTCTTACAAAAACCACAAAATGCCGCTAGTCTGACTCGACTAAATATTTCTTCTATTTCATCACAATTTTTGAAGTATAAGTTGATCACATTTTTTTGTCATTTAAAATAAGCTGTAGTAATTGTGTTACAATATTAAGGAGGGCCCGTTGCATTTTGCTGCTCCTTTCGGATCGCACGCCAAACCCTGAATCAGTCACGTGGTACGACCGGCTCGCGAGGCTTCAAACGTCACCACATCCGTCACCAACACAAGCCTCGATACGCGCTCCGCAAAAATCATCCTATATTTACTCGACACACGCTTCGAAGCCTCGATACGGAAGGACAACCAACTAACCTGAAACGAAACACCAGTGTTTTGGGTCACAGAATCTGGTGGAGTTACGCCGCGTTCCAGACCGCTCAGAACTGGGAAATTTCCAAGTTGAAATATCCGACTTCCAACCTAAAAGCGTTCCAGGTGCACGGTGGTGCAAACGCACATTTGGACAAGTCAGCTTCATTTTGGAAGAAGGTGCTGTGGACTGATGAAACAAAGATGGAGGTATTTGGTCATAACAAGGAGCGTTACGCATGGCGGCAAAAGACCACAGCGTTCCAAGACAAACGCTTGCTGCTACCCACAGGAACATTTGGTGGAGGTTCCATCATGCTGTGGGGCCAGTGCCGGTACTGGGAGTCTTGTTGAGGGGAGGGTCGCATGGATTCCACTCAATGTCAGCAGATACTTGAGAATAATGTAGAGGAATCAGTCACAAAGTGGAAATTACGCGGGGGCTGGATGATTCGACAAGACGACGACCCAAAACACTGCTCAAAATCTACTCTGGCGTTTATGCAGAGCAACAAGTACAATGTTCCCGAGACCTGAATATCATTGAAAATCTGTGGGGTGATTTGAAGCGGGCTGTCCACGCTCAGCAACCGTCAAACCTAACTGAACTGGAGATGTTTTGCAAGGAGGAAAGGTCCAAAATACCTTCATCAAACATTCAAACACTCATCACAGGCTATAGGAAGCTTCTAGAGGCCGTTATTTCTGCCAAAAGAGGCTCAACTAAATATTGATGATATTGCTGTTGAGGTGCCCAAATTTATGCACCTGTCTACTTTCGTTTTGATGCATATTGCACATTTTCTGTTCTCATCCAATAAACCTCATTTCACTACTGAAATATTACTGTCTTTAGGTTATTAGATAGCTCAAAATTAAATTGCTGATCCAAACACCCAATTATTTATAAATGAAAATCATGGAAATTGTCAGGGGTGCCTATATATGCATACGACTGTAAATAACCTATACGCTACTAGTTGTGTGTACTCTGATCGGTTGGTAATCCTCAAGTCAACACTAGGTTTCAAATGTTTTGGCATTTTAATCAATAACTTTTATGCAGAGAATAAGTGTTAGAACAGAAGGTGAATGAAGATAGTAACTAGGTTACAAATAAATCCTTTAATAATAAAAACCAAATGAAATGAAGAACAATAAATACATCTGTATCAATAACCTGGGTTTAAAACAGACACAAACTGGACATTCATTTAAATACTGCCACCTTCTGGCCAAACAGATCTGTTACTGGGTCAACAGGCCAATTTTAAAATACAAAAAACTAAAACATTTATTGGCGTTGTTCAAACATTAAGAATGCTGTGTACACAAAAAAGAATGTAATTTTTTCAAATTAAATAAATTTTGTGTTTTTTCAGCTACATAAACTGTCTTTGGTCTTACAAAATGTCATGTGGTGCGACTGTAATTTAATAAAAAAAATTAATTAATTTCCTTAACATGCTTAACAGTTTTTACAAGTTCACAGTAATATTCTTTTGGGTTTTTGGAAATAATAAATAAATAAATAAATCCACTTCTTAAATGTAGTTAATTGATTAATTTTCTCTGTAAATTGCATAAAACTGATAAAAATGTTTAAAAATACCATTCACTTAAAACTACTGTATCAGTAATTAATGTTTCAGTCACAGGAATGAGATTTTATTTTTAATTTAATAAAGTTATTGTTATAATTGGTCACACCACATGATGAGTGGTCGCTCCAAATGACATGAACACTGCATATCATTTAAAATATATATTTAAAGAGATCAGTAAACAAAAACTTCTAAACAAAAAATATATTTAAACCAGATACCATTATAGAAGTTTTCAAAACAGCAGTCATGGCCGGACAGTCGCACAGCATGACATTTTGACACTTCATTTATCAGAAAAATTACAAAAAGCTAATGTTTTTTAAAGTTACAGGTGAGTACATATATGGGAGAGGTCCTGCGTTTATATGGTATTCTTTTATGCTTTCAACCTTTTTTTTTTTTTGCGAAAAAATCCAGTTGGACACAAAATGTAGGCGTCACGTAATTGACCCTACGATGAGAACCATATATGAATTCAATATTAAGAATATAGTGCTAACAGTAACAACTCTGCATGAACGTGCGTTTATATGTATCGTTCTCTGTAAATACAGTATTCAGCCCATCCCTTGTGCAGATGGTAAATGTATAAAAGGAAATTGTTTGAATGGGCCTGATGCAGCTGATAAAATGAATGTGTTATCTATAATTACAGGTGCTATGCTTAAAGTCTGTCAGTCAAGGAGAAGCTGCCCCAGGGAGGTCAGGACGGTGTGACGGTTTAAGTGGTGGCTACATTAACTGGTGACAGTAGTGGCTTGTCAACCAGGAAACGCGTTCTGATGACTGTTTATCCACGTGATGTATATTTATGCACGAAAAATGCCTCTGAATGCAGTTTGCACAGAGTTACCCTGCATGTTGATTCACAGCGAAATCTACATACCTACAAAGTTAGTTTGAAGGAGGACAGTGGGACTGATCAGGTGACTGTGTCCATGCCTGTTCAGAACACTGCAAACGTCAATAAATCGTGCAAATGGGGCTGGATATAAACAATAAAACAGCAGGAGGTAGGTGAGGTAGGTGAGGTAGGTAGGGCTTAGGGCTGGACAATTAATTGAAAAGTAATTAAAACAGCTTTTTTGCTTGTACACTCAGATTTTGAAAGAACACAGTGCTTAATGTTAGCAGTAAGCTCTGGTTTTAATTTTTTGCATGAAACTGATGTAAATTTATATTGTCATCTATACAACCTTTTATTTATTTATGGTTTATTTTATTAGGGGCAGATGGACCTAACAGATAAACTGAAAACAGCAATCCAATGTGTGCTCAATAGTGTTTTTAGCAGTTGCTAATTTGCAACGCCCGTCCCTAGAAGGGCTTTTAAAGAAACAAAACATTAAAACAGTGATGAAGTATAAAACAATACATTACAGTATAAGCCAAGATAAAAAGGGTTAATACAATGGAAAACATGTGACACTAACACAATAGACTCGACATGAGTATAAGTTTGTTGCTGAACCAACCAGGACTTGGCCTCTCTTTTAAAGTGGTGAACTTTGCAGCAGTTTTCAAGTGTTTAGGTAACAAGTTCAGAGACTTTGCTCCTTTCACAGAAAAGGCCGTCTGAGCAAAAGGAAGTTTTGCAAAATGAAACTTTACAGTCGCCACTTGCAGCAGCTCTGGTGGATCTGCCGCTGCTCTGTAGTGTCTTAATGTACTTAAAGACAGGCTGAGGAGCACGTCCATTTAAACATTTAAATACAAGCTTTACATAATGAAAATCAAAGTTTGCAAAACTTAAAATCTTTTATTAAACTGCGACAGTGATGGTACATGACTTGCTGTTTGTCCCGGGTTTAGAGCTGCAACGATTAGTCGATTATTCAATTAAAAATGAATCAACAACTATTTTGATAATCAATTAATCGTTTCAGGCATTTTTAAGGAAAAACGTGAAGAATTAGCTGGTTTAATTTACTTAAATTGAGGAATTGCTGCTAATCTTTGTCATTAATGACAGTTGATGAAGAGTCTTTGGGTTTTGGACTGTTGGTTGGACGAAAGAAGCAATTTGAAAACGTCACTTTGGGCTCTGGAAATTTTTGTTCCCAATTTCTTGACATTTTATAGACTTAACGATTAGTCGATTAATCGTGAAAATAGTTGGCAGATTAGTCGATAATTAAAATAATGCAGCCCTACCAGGGTTTTGAAGGCTCCACTGTAAAGACAGGACCATAGATTTAATCACTGACTGGTTGGACCAGGTAGTTAAACCGTAAGACAGATGAGAAAGTATCATTGCATTTAGAAACATCAAGCCGGGATCAAATGTGAAGCATTTTCTTATCTTAAAACAGGTAAGGTTAATCGATTTGTAAATCTTTTTAGTGTGACTTTTTAAAAATTCAGCTGGGAGTAAAATTATCCCTCACTTCAGGTACTTGTAGAGTAAGCTCACCTTTAATTTTAACATTCTGTTTCAGATAGCTTTTAATAGAAACCACTTTGTTTTGTTGGTGTATTATTTATTTTTATAAAGGTTCTTGGTTTGTTTTTCAGGGTAATTTACATTTTAAATGACACTAGTGGAAATACTTTTATCTTATGAGTTAATGTTGGTGCTTTAAACCCCCTCACGATCAGCAGAGGGCAGCGCAGCCCCGCAGGTTCTTCTGATGAGGAAGACTTCTCTGACTCCAGGACTGAATATCGAATGAAACAACTCTTCTTCATGGTTGTGATCTCGGCTGCTTGTCGTCCATCTTTCTTCCCGCTGCCTTAAATCAAAATGGCGGTTGCTTCCTTCACGGCCGGAGGTGAGCTGCCGTTGAACTGCGTTTAAAAGATTTAAAAGTCGATAATTGTGACTTTGGCGTGATTAAACTGTCGTATGTTGGTTGATATTGTGTCCGACTCGCCCTGTGCGTTGAGTCTTACTGTAATTTGAGGCAAATGTTTTATTTAATGAATCGCGGTAAAAAGCCTGAAGGCTAATGTTAGCATGCTAGGCGGCCCCAGTACAGAGGGGAGGAAACCCCGTAGGTCCGGCTAACGGCTGCATCCTGTCAGCTCCAGCCTGCGGAGTGTTTATGGTGATGCAGGTGTGCAGATTTCCCTTTGAACATTAATATTACTGTGTTTGTGTAATCGTGAACTTTATCACATCCAAGTTATTAAGTTCTCCTGTGTTTTTATTGTGATTGCAGATATCGTTACGGGTGATGGAGATTGAAAAACCGACTGAAAGTCCAGAACTGTGCCGGGGTTATTGATTGATGCCAGAACACAAGGTGGAGTACATCGGCAGACACACACGTCCTACAGTAACTTACATTAAAAAAACAATAATTTAGCTTTCATCCACTTTCTGAAACATTATTCATATCGACTCACTTTGTTTTGGTTATCTAAGTTTTGTGAATGTTGTTTGCGATTGATAATCTGCTGGCCGGCTGAGAGCTGCTAAACTTGGGGGAGAGGAGCGGGGAGCAGCGCTGCAACCTTTAGACAAATAAACACCCGAAGTCGGTCGGATTCTGCTCTGACAACTACACCGTTTACTCGCAGAGGAGCTCGGAGTTAACTGCTTTTATTAAATTAGCTTTTTACTTTAGTTTTTGGGATTTCAATGTTGATTTATCTTCACTCCAGCTTCTCAGCAGCTTCCGTGCACATCCGGTTCCAATGTTGTTGTTAGCGTCGTTAGCTCTGTATTTATATAAAAAGAACACACAAAACTGGACATTACATGGAGAAAAGAAAGCGAGGAGGTTGAACTACCTGGTGAGATCAGAAAACGTGTGTCTGTAACTTTATTCCAGCTGTCGTTGTACTTTACTGTGACCAAGTTAGCATAGCATAGCCGTGATCGATCCGAGCTCCATTCAGAAAACATTTTAGAAGTTGTTGTCCTGCTGACAGACCTGACAAAGCATCAATTCATATGTTTAACAAATCTGCATCATGTTGTAGTTATTTCAGCATCAGTTTGATCCGTTTATTGCTATTAAATCACAGCAACATGTTTACTTTGGGTTCATACAGTTGTTGTAATGGCGAATTGTGTTTATTCATGTTATCGCATAAAAGTCGCCTTCTCGCGGTGTGTGTGTGTGTGTGTGTGTGTGTGTGAACACTTGCAGCGAATGTACTGATCCAAGATGGCTGCTCTGAGTATCAACAGTTGGCGAAAGCTGTAGTTACTGTTTATTAGCACTTCTGTGTTATTGTGTCTCATGGAAAGTTTCGTACACAAAGTGCTGTCCAGCTGCTGTCTGTGGTAAGGTGACCAGATTACTGAAATGAAATCCTGTGTTTAGTATGAGCAAATACTCACAATGCGTTTTTCTTTAATCAACTTTTTATTGACTTGTTACTCGGGGGTGTGACGTCATTCCCAGCTCCGACCTCTGACTCCTGAGGTAAATGAAACGCCCCATTGGACTAATGTTGAGATACTGAAGGACAAACTGTTTGAACAGTAAGCTTCATTTGAAGCTCACTAAATAACGAGTGTAGTGTGTTGGATGCCTGCAGCAGATTTTCATGTTGCTTTCTGTGGAAATGTAGTTAACGTTAGTACAGCGCAGATGTTAGTCCTTTGTGCTCTGCACCGGGGTGTGTGCCCGTTGCTGTGGTATGTAAATTGACGTGATAGACATGCCCTGAAGGTAACGATATAGTTACGTGTGACAAAGACGTGGTCAAACTACAGAAATGAGTTTGATCGGCAACGTTGTGTAACTTTGGCTAGCACCCAGCAGCTACCTTGCTCCGACCATAAAGCTGCTGTTAGCGGCTGTGCAGTGAGGTGAGATCCACACACACTGCTGTGCTATATGGCACCAAAAATGGCAATAATACCGTTTACCGCGCTGTTGAGCCACAACAAATTACCGCGGGGGAAATTACTTCACTGCGACAACCCTAGAGACAGCACTAAGTGTAAACTTGTGTTAAATAGCAAGAGTTACCATTGGTTGATTGTCTTTGAACATTAGACAATAGAAGTGATGGTAGATAATGATAACAATACGAGATTAGAAACTGACATTTACGTTTTCCTTCAGCAGTTAACCTGCAGTTAGTGTGTAGTGTAGGAAAAATAGTAAAAATGAGTTCCCGACTGGAAAATTTCACTTGAATGCCCCGTCAAGTTGGAACAACAACTTTTGGTACACGACCTGCCGAGTCGACATCATAGTACTTGGACAGCAGCATCACATAACACCCACTACCCAGACGCTATACAAAAACGTCCACATTGTTTCCATATTATGACTTAAAGCTCATGAACACACTAAAGTCGTAAGAACGACCTCCAACTCTGGAAATGGAACCATCCGAGGAGCACATGAATGCAGCATTACTCTCATTTACGTGTTGTGATTAGTAACTCGGTGCAGTTCCCAAATATCCCAAGCCACGCATTTCACATCCGGTAGTTTATGTTCTCCATTTTATAAAAGGGCGCTGTTAGCTATGTTTGTTTGTTAAGTGATATTAAATTCTTACTTACTCTAGATAATTACCCTTTTAGCAGTCATTCGGTGCTACTGCAATGCCAATGCTACACTTTCAGCGAGGAAAATAAGTATTTGAACACCCTGCTATTTTGCAAGTTCTCCCACTTAGAAATCATGGAGGGGTCTGAAATTGTCATCGTAGGTGCATGTCCACTGTGAGAGACATAATCTAAAAAAATAAATCCAGAAATCACAATGTATGATTTTTTAACTATTTATTTGTATGATACAGCTGCAAATAAGTATTTGAACACGTGTCTATCAGCTAGAATTCTGACTCAAAGACCTGTTAGTCTGCCTTCAAAATGTCCACCTCCACTCCATTTATTATCCTAAATTAGATGCACCTGTTTGAGGTCGTTAGCTGCATAAAGACACCTGTCCACCCCATACAATCAGTAAGAATCCAACTACTAACATGGCCAAGACCAAAGAGCTGTCCAAAGACACTAGAGACAAAATTGTACACCTCCACAAGGCTGGAAAGGGCTACGGGGAAATTGCCAAGCAGCTTGGTGAAAAAAGGTCCACTGTTGGAGCAAAAAATCATACATTGTGATTTCTAGATATATTTTTTTAGATTATGTCTCTCACAGTGGACATGCACCTACGATGACAATTTCAGACCCCTGTGGGAGAACTTGCAAAATAGCAGGGTGTTCAAATACTTATTTTCCTCACTGTACAGTAGGCAGTTGATAAGCTACTTTTGAGCAGTTTCTAGTTAACATTTATTTTCAACATTAGGTATATTATACAATACTAATATAGGAAATGTGCTATGCTTACCATGAAAACACATATATATATATATATATATATACACATACAGTCTCTAGTTTTAATCTAAAGCCAGCCATAGTTACCTCAGCCCTTTGTCTATACTTGGTCAAGTTAATATTAATATGTGCATAAGCTAGGTTGTTAGTTATCAAGTCATTATTGTTGAGGGATGATTCTTAAAACAAAGATTTGAATTTGAAGGTCTTTGTTATGTCTGATTGGAGAATGTGTAAATTTGTTTTAAATGCAGGTTATAGCTGATGCTTTTATCCACTACTCAGTGAAGACAGCACAAAGATTCCTAAAGCCAACGGTAAGGAGGTCAAAGGTCAGTACTGTACTGTGTAAATTAGGACTTAACATAGATGATTCGATCCTATTAATGATTATATCTAATTACATTGTCAATAAATGCCATGCACACAGACCCAAAAGGCGTTTCCCTATACACAATCATTGCAAAAGCAGCAATAGTAAAACTGTACATGTACATGAGCGTCACAAAAAGCCCTGGAATGACTCTCTTTACTATAAGACTTTGATGCATTCAATCCAGGAACATTTGGGAAGTCTAGAAGAGCCTTATGAATAAATTATTTTATCTCTATTATGTGTTGTATGCTTGGGTCTTACTTTCTTCACGACCGAGGCACTGAAGGGGCTGACTGTCTGATTGGAATGTATTACAGGCTCCTGCAGAGTAAACTTATTAATTGAAAATTAGCTGTGGACAGGTGCATTTCAAATAATCAGTTTTACTTTGTTGTTACCGTGCTCGTATAGTGTGTGAGTGAAAATTAGTAGTGCATTGATATAGTGATTGTGTGAAATTGCAGTAGCGGCTGTCATAATTCATGCATATAGGAGAAACAAAAAAGAAGGAACCACAAGCACATGACAAATACAATTAATTAAAATAATAATTAATATTATACTACTAATAATATCATACATTATGCAGAGCCTACATTTTGTATACACAATATTTTGATGTTTTAATCACTCCATGTCACTACTAATCTTAGATTTATACCGCTACTGAAAATTACAAGAATGTATAAATAGATCAAATGTTTGTTAGAAGATCTCACAAATAAAACTAGACAATTGAGACAATTTATAGATTTTTCAAGGCTTGAATTGAAAAATAGATTTAGACCTTGTTAAAGAGCTGTTGACAGCCCACAGAAATACACAGGTTGACACACCACCACGCCGCTGTGTCACAGAGCCTCATACTACAGATGTTTACCAATTTAAGGTTACAATAATTAAATACTACTAACAACAATTAAGACAGTACACAAGATAGGATTTTTATATTGCATAGTTTATGATTATAAAAACATGTAAAACTGACAAACGATAGTAAAATCTTTTTCTATAGAAAATGATGTCCACAACAATCAGGCACATTTCTCACACAAGATCAGAAGATATTGATCCCATTTGGTTACCTTCACTCATCTTTCTCCAATAATGTTAATGTTAAGCCAAACATAAAATAAAATAAATTGAGTGCTTTATCGTTCTCAGCTGGGATGTGGGAGCTTCAGAGCTTCTTGATCTCTTTGCTGGATGTATGATGTTTAGACGTGCCAGTGTTTCCCCTAGGATGGAGTTGTAGCAGCGGAGGTGAAGCTATTTGTTTTTGTGCGCGTAGTGCGCAGTATGTCTGAAGATAAAACCCCAACACAACATGTCTCAGCAGCAGTGCTCTTGTGTCCATGAGCATGCGATGAACATTAGAATAGCTTCAAATGTCACTTTCCCAATTTTATGTGAGCTTCAGATGAATGTTTTGGTGGTGGTGGTCATGGTCAGATGGGTGGGGGGTTTGGGCTCCTCCGCCAAGAAAATGTAACATTTTCCAATGAAATATGTAATTTCACATCACATTGAGACATTATTTTTACCATATCTCTAGACAAATACTTGAAATGTTTAGGGCAGATAATAAAGAAACAACGCAATGGATAAGACGCCTGCCTTTGGTGTGAGAGACCCGGGTTCAATCCCCCACTGTTACCCATCCACAATTGTGTCCCTGAGCGAGACACTTAACCCCTCGTTACTCCAGAGGCGTGCGACCTCTGACATGTATAGCAAGTGTAAGTCGCTTTGGATAAAAGCATCAGCTAAATGAGTAAATGTAAAAGATGAAATATCATAAAAAGGTTATAAAAACATTTGTACATATACAGCTAGCGCTACAGGATTTGCATATAACCCTGATTCTGTCTTGCGTATCATTTGCTCATGTTTTTGTGTTTGAAATTCCATCACAGTGAGTCGTTTGCTGCTGCACCTATTTTTTTCTTGCTGTACAGTTCGTGTCTCAGCGCTTGTGTTGAGCTTGTTTGTACGATCAACTGCCCTAGTTTTCATACTGGACTCATAAGTTGTGAATGTGCCACATCTGTGACAGTCAACAAATGGAAAAGGGATAAGAGAGGTTTATAAAAGTTTATAAAAACATTTGTACATATACAGCTAGAGCTACAGGATTGGCATTTAACCCTGGAATCTGTCTTACAGCACGGAAGTAAGTCACGGGCTGCTTCACCTAATTTTCACTGTACGTGTTGTGTTGCACTTGTTTCACCCACCCTAGTTTTCATACTGGATATCATAAGCAAGGGGTCCGTTAATAGCAAAACCGAGATAGAAAGAAACCTTTTCTGTGCTGAAACCACTTGTTATACCAGCAATGAGAGCTGGACGCACGGGGAATTTTAGTTTTCCATAATTTGCAAACACCTCTCCTTGCTCAATGGCTCCACTGACTCGATGAAGGCGGCTGATAATCGCTTTGTCCTTAAATATATCTCCATTCCGCCAGAGTTGTGCCAAAGTATCACGGCGCATCTCTTTAAAATTCTCATCTAGTTGGGGTTTAGAAACAAGCCTCTTGAGTCCCTCTTCTTTCCCCAAGTAGAGGTGGGCAACGGTGCTCCTTTTCGGAAACAGAGCCAGGTGCTTGCGAGATGAGTTTCTTATTGCTCTCACGTAGGTCCCAATTTCTGTGTTTTCCTCAGTAGGACTTGGCCACAGTAACAGCAGAGCCAGGTAGTACGGGTCTGGGAAGGGATACCGAAGTCCTACATCTTGCAGTGTTTCCAGCAGGAGAGCAGAGAGTTTGCTGTAACTCTTCACATGTTTAGATTTTGGTTTCAAAATGAAAAGAACTATGTTTGACAAAATGTAATTGATTTTTTCCTTTGTCTTTTGTTTTTTGTTGAGGAGTTGTTGTTGTTGTAAGAATGCATAGCACTCTGTGATCTTCTCAATCTCTTCAGCAGGTCTGTCCAAATGCTGAAGAATCCCTACAAATGTATCTGCATGTTTCTCTTCAAGAAACGATCTTTGTTCTTCAATATCCATTTTCAAATTGAGATTAGGATTGTTTTGTTGTTCTTTTTTCATTTCATCTGGTCCAGTGCAAAAAAGATTTACATACCTTTTAAAAAGACCACAGACAGTCCAACGATTCTTTGAATCGAATTCTGAACTGTTTGCTTTTATATACGTGAAGTAACAGTCGAGGATTTCAAACGTTTCTTTTACTTCAGTTTTCAGATTTTGGAGAAACTGCGTGTGTTCTTTGATGATCTCCACGTATCTGTTGTTGATCTCGTTGTCCTCCTTATACACGCTGGTGATTGGGATTGCTTTTTGCAGAAAACTCCGCAAGTACCTCTTCTTCATTGGGTCACTTTCATCAAAGAACGACAATCGGCTCAATATCTCAAAGACCAGGAAAGCAATTTCCAGCACACCCACGTAGCCATAAACATTGTATGACTTTCTGGGATAGTCATCTGATTCATCATCAGCAGCGTCCATCTCAGGTTCATCCTCTGTATTTGCCAGCTCTTGAGCCCTTTTAAAAGCTTTGATAGCATTATCGGCTATTTTAATGTTTGTGTTAAGTCTTCTGGATTGTGTGATGTCTCCTGCTTTTCTCTGTGGTTGTTTGATTTTAAATTGCTTTTGTGAATCTGCCCAATTGTGTCAAATGTGTATGGGTTTTCTTTAATTTTCTTGGCCTTCTCAGCCCATTTCAGAGCCTCTGGGAAGTCACGCTCGTTGATGTACAAATATCTTGCCAGTGCCTGAGGAATAGATGCACTTTTTTCAAACCTGGTTGATGCTTTCACAAAGATTTCTTGGACAGTCTGTCTCCCTTGCTTGCTGTTGACGTTGTCTATGAGTGGAGAAAATAGTTCTCTCTCATCTCCGTCTTTCTTGCGCTGCCTTTCAATCAACATCCGTTGAATTGAGAGCATGAATCTGTGTTTGACAACTCCGTTACTGAAGAACAAATCACAGTGAAGAATCTCCATAGAGATATCACTCACTTTTAAATAGCAGCTTCTCTCCAACTCTTCCAGACATGCAGATGCGATGGAATGATGAAGGATTCGAATTCCTTTGTATTCCCAGTCTTCAACTGTCTCTATGATGAGAAAGTTTGAATATGGCTTCATTCTGTCCATTACACTGTCCTCCCTCCAATGTATACTTTTCATTCCCAGGAAATCCTCACAGAGAGAGAGAGAGATTTCAGATTCTGCCACATAGGTGTTAAGTAAGGCTAGAAAGGAAAAGAGTTTGGCCTCCTTTGAGCTGATATCAAAGTTCTCCAGTGTGTTATGAGCAATGTCCTCAATGTATTTTTCGTCAAAGTTGTGCTTCATGATCATGAAGCTGTAAAAGTTTTCAGGTTTTTCATGAGTTTCTTTGAGCTCTATGAGTTTCTTTTCAAACTCCTTCTGTTCATCTGTTGTTAGTGAAGCAGTTATGTATTGACTTTGTGTTGGACCGTGCTGTCTGTATTGTACATTTGGGCTATGGGATCGAACACAGTTAAGGATGATGACTTTGCAGTTTTGTGAGTCGTCCACATTTATGTTAGAGAAATTCTCTACAGCTTGACCGATACAGTTTACAAGATCGTAAGGATTCTCGGTTTCCTTTGAGTCATCAACTAACAGTAAAACTGGAGATGGTTTCTCACTTTCAAGTTTCATGAGCCTTCTGACTTGGACGGCCACTTCTGTCTTCGGCAGCGTGTTGTCTTTCAGCACAGCACATCTTAACTCTTGACGGAGATCCCACATCACATGCATTGCTAAGGTTGTTCCACCACAGCCTGGATCGTGAAACAGATTCAGCAGAGCGCATATGTCTTGGGAATCTTTCAACTGAAGTCTGATCATCTTCTTCACATTTTCATACTTGTCCCGCTTGACAAATGGCTTCTCTTTGTCTTTGTCACAGAAGTAGAAGTTCCACCATTTGACTTTTCCTCCTCTGTAGAATTCCTCCTCAACTTTGATTCTCAAGGCTTCAAACTCCGGGCTGTTCTCATCATAAACGTTTTCACACTGATTCAGACACAAAATATCCAGAGCGGTCATGAAATCTTCATCCTTCTGTTTCAGGACAACAGCGCTGGAACCGGAAGAGGGAAGCAGCCTTCCAGATGACTGATTGAATGGTCCCAGAGCCATAATAGTGCCATTGATCTCACTTAGGGTTAGTTCATTTATGGATAGACGGTCAATGTCAAAATCACACTTTCCTTGAACCAGCTCCCTCCATTTCTCATACGTGCTCTGACAATCACAGAGAGTGACGATGCTTTCCTCTTCAGTGTGTTTTATGAAAGACTTGTAGGTGTCAAAAACCGGGTCTTTCTCAGTGTCCACAGGTGAAAGGAGGAGGAATATAATGAGTCTTCTTCTAGGAAGAAGAACTTCAGGGTTGCAAATGAATGAAACCAACTGCTCTACATCTCTGCAGGATTTCCTCAGCCAGTTCTTATAGTCCAGCTCCTTGTTCGAGTCGTTGTCAAGGTCATGCCTGCCGTTGCAGAAGACCCAGCTGGTCTGTTTGCAGAGGTTAAGGTTCTTTATCACGGAGTCAGTCTGTCCTTGATATTGTGATGGGTTATGCAGATTGGCCATCCTTGACTCTCTGTAGGAATGACACACTCCACCTGGAGCGGTGGAGTTAGGGTCAAAGTCTAACACACAGAACAGTTTCAGCTTACTCAAAAACTGCAGGTACTGCACTTGTCCTGGACTGCTCTTGTTCACAACAACAACAAATCTGTTATAAGTGTCCAGCAGGTTCCCACCACACGTTAATAAATCCTTTAGTTTGTCACCCTGGTTAGATTCTTTCTTCAAAACTTCTTTTGGAAGACACAGCTGCTCCAGTTGACCTGTATGAGCAGTGAAATAAATGCATTATAAGTAAAATACAACACTTATCTATTGAACTGAAGGTTAAGACTGGTGATGCTTACTGCCAGCAAATCCAAAGGAGAAAAACAACAATGTGTTTGTCCGTCTCTCAATATGTTTAAGACTGTCCTCACCAAAAAAGCGACAAGATAGGTTATTTGTGCAGCACTTTTTTATGACCCACATTAACATTTGTTGTGACTGCGATTTCTAGTGATACTGGTAAATAGTGAGAAAGTCTGCGTAAGGAGGTTGGATGGGTGACATCCCAGACTTTTACTGTAAAACAAAATGTTTTTTTTAATTTAAAATAAGTTATTTTTAGTTTTAAGTTAAATAGCCTTACTGACATCCGTAATGTAACTTCTGTGACTTCCGTCACATGACGTAATTAACTGACTTTAACCCAAACGCTTTCCTAAACCAAACTGCGACAGTTTCACAACGTAAACCACGTGTTTAATGTAGGTAAACGATCATATGTGTTGTTTTGGGAGGCATAAATAAACAACCATTTTGTCGTTTAGGTTAGAGGACTTGTTGACTTCCTGTCTATGGCTCTCAGCTCCAAGCTCATTGGCTCCTAATGAAGATGTAAATCTATCTCACAAATATAATAACACAAAGTTTCCTGTTTAAAAAGTCTCAGTAATTTCCTAAAACAGCTGGTCGCTGTAGTTTTCATCAAGCAAACAGGAGGAAATAGTGCGTTTGTTGGGGACTATTTTACATGTTTGTTATTATACATGTTGGTAGAGGTTGTCTTACCCATGTTCTTTTCCAGCTGACATGCAAGCTCACGTTGATTGATTTCTTTCAGGATGTCAATTGTGACTTGTAAAGCTTCCTTGCTTCTATAGTGCTCAGTCATCAACTTTGCAGTGTCCATGGTGTCCTTGCCCTCCAGTTTACTCCAAGGAATAGGTTTAACCTTAGATTTTGTGTAAGTTTTAAGCAGAAATTAAACCTTTTTATGTCTTCTTTTGTAAGGTTCTCGAGAGTTTCATGGATCTCCATGGGGATCTTGGATGTGACTGTGCTCTACAGGAAGAAACAGAAGTAAATATTTAGTAAACAACACTTTAATCAATGTCTACATTTCATAAAAAATCTTTTAAGTTGTATAAGTTCTAAAACTGCACTAACAAAATAGATTTTTCTTGTATATCAAAAGGCTCTATTAACAGACTGGATACAATAATATTTTGTATTACTAGCCTATAATGTAGAAAACAGAGAAATTTTACCACAACTGTTTCTTTTCTCCTAGCCCCCATGTTCTGTGGCTTTGGCTGCTTCTCTGAAGCTTTCTTGAATAGCTGCAGAGCCTTTTCAGATTCATTTTCCACCTTTTTGTCTGGTTTTGATTGAATCGTGTTACACGATTCAGCCTGTTTGGTTGCTATGTCCTGAGCCAGACTAGCTTCCGGTTGAGCGGGTTTTGGAGTCTCTTTTTGGTCTGTGCTGGTGTGAAGGATGGGTTGCAGTGTCGGCTCTGGTTTCTTGTTCAACTGACGGAGTTCTGACAGAATCTTTACAGCAGGACCGCTTTTCACTTCCAGGTCCAGAAAATCCTGCTTCTTGAAGCAAACGAGGCAATCTCCAGATACGTCTTCCTCTTGTAGCCGTTCTGCATATTTGCTATATACTTTCACGTGCTGCAGTATCCACTGGGTCACTTGTTCCTTTGTCCAGTTTTCCACATATGCTGGGAACTGTGATTCATGTTGTGATCGTTCTTTCAGATGTTGTAGATAAGATGTGATTTTGACAGCAGGACCGTGTTTTATTCCCAGGTCCACTATGTCTGTCTTTTCAAAAACAACTAAAATGTCTCCCGACACTTCCTCTTCACAGAATCTGTCTGCACAAGTCTCATGAACTTTGACCTCTGTCATCAGCCACTGGTGGACGTCTTCCTTGGTCCAGTTTTCAATCTGAGGTGGTGGCTTTGTTGTTGAATGACTCATTTTGGATCAACTAGAAATGAAACAGTTGAGTAAAAGATTAAAATGCTGGTAAGAACAGTAAGAAAATATATTGCATAAAAAATCAAGCACAGTCTACAAATATAAAATACAATCTCGAAATGATTCAAAATCCACAAACTGCATGATCCACAAATATAAGATCTACAAATGATTCAAGATCCACAAATATAAAATACGATCTACAAATGATGCAAAATCCACAAACGCTCCATGATCCACAAATATAAAATACGATCTACAAATGATTCAAAATCCACAAACGCTCCATGATCCACAAATATAAAATACGATCTACAAATGATCCAAAATCCACAAACTCTCCATGATCCACAAATATAAAATACGATCTACAAATGATCCAAAATCCACAAACTCTCCATGATCCACAAATATAAAATACGATCTACAGATGATCCAAAATCCACAAACTCTCCATGATCCACAAATGTAAAACATGATCTATAAATGATTAAAAATTCACAAACAAACTCTCCATCAGCTGCCAGTGTGTGTGTTGAATATGCGGCAGCAAATGCCACAATGTACAGTCTTTTTCAGACTGTGTGGGTTAGCAACAGCATAAATGGATTGCAGCATACATAGTATGTAGATAATAAACTGTATTATAAAGGCACACTTCACCAATTAAACTATGAATAATTATTCAGCACTTTGCACAAGGGTACAAATATAGTCCAAACAGGATTAAATGCAGTGTAGATGTGACAAATGTGAGCTCTTATTTTGAAGGGCATATCGAGGGGACGTGACGGCACATAGAAGCATAATTACATTTGCGGATTGTTGTTACACTCCCTGAGGTAAACCAGAGTCTAAATGGTATGTTGATATATAGTAAGTGATCTGTATAGACATCTTATTTTGAAAACCGGACGTTGTCACATGTGCTTCCTCCTCGAACTAAATTCATCCAGTCCGACCCGGTTTGATAAATAATGTTGTATGTGGTTCTCGTACAGCGTAACATGAAGACTTCACAGCCTCTCTTCAGATAGGACGCTCATACTGCAACACTTGTCTTTGTAAAGAGACAAACTGACAGGATAAAGTCTCTAACCTGCCTGTCAGCTCGCTCTGGGCCAGTTCACTTACCGTAAAGGCTTGAATACGTGTGCACACACACTTCTCACAAACGAGTGACAGAAACACTCCAAGCGGTTCTTTTCTAAGAAGGAGGAGCCAATTATTCAGAGGGGGGGTCTGGATGTTCCTCCCCCAGCAATTTTTTAGCATTAAACACTTTCTATGTTTTTCTGGTGAAATTTCTGCACCAATTCCAGCCTTTTCTGAATCAATTTATTCTGGAAATGTTTTATCTAAGCTATGTCAATGGAAACTCAGGCAGCAGGTGACAATTTAAAATATAAAATTTACCAGAATATACAGTGGGTACGGAAAGTATTCAGACGCCTTTAAATTTTTCACTTTGTTTCATTGCAGCCATTTTCCAAAAATCAAAAAAGTTCATTTTATTTCTCAGTAATGTACACTCAGCACCCCATCTTGACAGAAAAAAACAGAAATGTAGAAATTTTTGCAAATTTATTAAAAAAGAAAAACTGAAATATCACATGGTCATAAGTATTCAGACCCTTTGCTCAGTATTTAGTAGAAGCACCCTTTTGATCTAATACAGCCATGAGTCGTTTTGGGAAAGATGCAACAAGTTTTTCACATCTGGATTTGGGTATCCTCTGCCATTCCTCCTTGCAGATCCTCTCCAGTTCTGTCAGGTTGGATGGTAAACGTTGGTGGACAGCCATTTTCAGGTCTCTCCAGAGATGCTCAATTGGGTTTAAGTCAGGGCTCTGGCTGGGCCATTCAAGAACAGCCACGGAGTTGTTGTGAAGCCACTCCTTCGTTATTTTAGCGGTGCGCTTAGGGTCATTGTCTTGTTGGAAGGTAAACCTTCGGCCCAGTCTGAGGTCCAGAGCGCTCTGGAAAAGGTTTTCGTCCAGGATATCCCTGTACTTGGCCGCATTCATCTTTCCCTCGATTGCAACGGGTCGTCCTGTCCCTGCAGCTGAAAAACACCCCCACAGCATGATGCTGCCACCACCATGCTTCACTGTTGAGACTGTATTGGACAGGTGATGAGCAGTGCCTGGTTTTCTCCACACATACCGCTTAGAATTAAGGCCAAAAAGTTCTATCTTGGTCTCATCAGACCAGAGGATCTTATTTATCACCATCTTGGAGTCCTTCAGGTGTTTTTTAGCAAACTCCATGCGGGCTTTCATGTGTCTTGCACTGAGGAGAGGCTTCCGTCGGGCCACTCTGCCATAAAGCCCCGACTGGTGGATTGCTGCAGTGATGGTTGACTTACTACAACTTTCTCCCATCTCCCGACTGCATCTCTGGAGCTCAGCCACAGTGACCTTTGGGTTCTTCTTTACCTCTCTCACCAAGGCTCTTCTCCCCCGATAGCTCAGTTTGGCCGGACGGCCAGCTCTAGGAAGGGTTCTGGTCGTCCCAAACGTCTTCCATTTGAGGATTATGGAGGCCACTGTGCTCTGAACCTTAAGTGCAGCAGAAATTGCCACAATTCTGTCTCTGAGCTCTTCAGGCAGTTCCTTTGACCTCATGATTCTCATTTGCTCTGACATGCACTGTGAGCTGTAAGGTCTTATATAGACAGGTGTGTGGCTTTCCTAATCAAGTCCAATCAGTATAATCAAACACAGCTGGACTCAAATGAAGGTGTAGAACCATCTCAAGGATGATCAGAAGAAATAGACAGCACCTGAGTTAAATATGAGTGTCACGGCAAAGGGTCTGAATACTTATGACCATGTGATATTTCAGTTTTTCTTTTTTAATAAATTTGCAAAAATTTCTACATTTCTGTTTTTTCTGTCAAGATGGGGTGCTGAGTGTACATTACTGAGAAATAAAATGAACTTTTTTGATTTTTTGAAAATGGCTGCAATGAAACAAAGAGTGAAAAATTTAAAGGGGTCTGAATACTTTCCGTACCCACTGTAATTCAGTAGGTGTATGGCTTTCAAGCATTCTGTGTTTCTTTTTCTTTCATGATTTAGTCCTCCCTCTTTGTTGTGTCTTTGTTTGGGGAAGTTCCTCTTTAAACGCAGCACCTTTTCACCTCAAGGATAAATTAAGACAGACAGACACAGAACCCGTTTGGGACTGTATAGATGAAACCTGTCCTAAACGAAACTAACTGAAAACACTTCACCACAAATCCTCACGTTAACTTCAGCAGCTCTGTGCAGCTCTGATTCCCAACAGAGCAAGAGCAGAGCAGAGCTGTGCTTCAGATTATACATTTTTATATTGCAAAACTGTCACTGCCACTCACTGCCCGAGACTGGGTTTGCTTGAATCCTGTCACAGCATCCAGTGGTGTCGCATCAGCTGGTTAAAGTGTAATCGCACGAGTCGACGCTATCAGTTATAGGCTACATTAGTTTTTCCAGTTAGTGAGAAAATTGATGTATGGTGTGAGTCCGTGTGAAAATGTGTCATTTGCGTGAGTCTCACGCTCAATTTTCCCCATACAGAGCACCCCAGGCTTCGGAGCCATCTTTCTGTCCAATGTACTGCTGTCAGGATATAGAGACAGAGTCAGCAAATATGACAAAGTACATTTTAAAAGAATTCCCTACTGCAGCATTAAATGGAAAGGAAGTGGCCCCTGTAATCCAGCCTTCAAGCTCTGACTGGTTTACTGTTTCTTCAGTGGGAACATCACCAGAGGTATTTGAGTCACTGAACAAACTGGTGACAGAGGCAACAATCCAAAGTCAGGAAACAGATTTAGGCTGAAGTAAGGATGTAGAGACGGGTAAGGTTTTGCATTGTATGATCAACTGTTACCAAAATGTTTTAAAAGAGACCTATTATACTGCTTGTACATTCCTATATTGTAGTTCTGTAGGCCTGTATGGCAGCTTTGCATAATTTGACGTTCAAAATAAAAATTTCTATCTTATCCTGGCTCTTCATGTAGGACTTCATTTCAGCGTTTGTCTGAAACAAGCTGTTGATGCTCCTGTCTCTTTAAGCCCCCCCCCCCCCCCCCCCCCA